TTTCAGTCAACCCCTCCCCCCATCTATTGATGCTTTGGGTGTTGGAGGGTTCTTATCATGGAATTTTACTAGTCTGTCTGCTCTCACGTTGCTCTTAACCCGGGTGGCCTCTGATAAAGGATATCCTTTCTATTGCACTAAATATTATAACTTCCCCTTATAGAGGCTAGAGTCTAGAATCCACTTTACTTTATAATGGGTCTCCCCTTCCACCCCAATGGGCTTTGGTGCCACTGAAGCTATCAATCTCAATGTAGAGCCAACTACTGGTTTTAACAAGCAACTGTGGAATACCGGGTGCACCTTCCCCAAAAGGCGGGGGAGTTTTAGTTCCATGTTAACTGCATTGATTACCTTTATGATGGGGAATGGTCCCAAGAACTTAGGACCTATTTTTTTGCAGGGCAACTTTAGCCTTAAGTACTTTGTGGAGAGATAAACCTTCTCCCCCACCTGGGTCTCTGCGTGGCCCGTTTCTTATCAGCTTGTTCTTTGTAGGATTATGTTGCTTTTGCCAATGCCTGCCTTACATTTCTCCATGAATTCCGCAACGAGGCCACCCACTCCATTAAACTAATAGAAAAGGGAGGCTCCTGGGGGTATTCTCGCATGGGAACAAAGTCTACCAACTTGAAGGGAGTGAGCCCAGTGCTGCTGTGCACTGCATTATTGTATGCCACTTCAGCAAAAGGCAGTAGTTCTAATTAGTCTGTTGGTAGTTGACATAACACCTTAGGTACTGCTGGTTATGGTTATGGTTTATTAAACTTGTATGCCGCCCTCTTCCCAGAAGGGACTCAGGGCGGCTAACAAACTCATAGGGAAGGGGGGTAACACAACGAAAGCAAAACAAGACAAACAATTAAAAAAGACATATTAAAACTCCGCAACAGGCGCACCAATTCGAGTGGGGCTGGGAACTCATTAGCCTCAGGCCTGCCGGAACAGCCAGGTCTTAACGGCTCCACCATGGTGTTGGCCCTCTCCACTGCTGCATTGGTACTCGGATGAAAAGCTGAACTAAGCCTCTGGGAGGACCCGATGGACTTTAAGAACTCCCTCCAGAACTTAGCCATGAATTGGACCCCCTGATCAGAAATAATCCTGTGGGGGACACCATGCAATCGGTACCTATGCCTCAGGAACAACTTTGCCAGTTTGTGGGTGGACGGTAATCCGGGGCAGGTGATGAAATGAGCCTGTTTGGAAAATAGGTCAATCACTGTCCAAATCACGGTATTCCCTCCACTTTGCAGCAGCTCAACTATGAAGTCCATCGTGATCACTTCCCAGTGGGCTCAGCTACTTGCTGCAGCAACCCAGGGGGCTTTCCTGGTCTTTTCTTCATCATTGCACAGGTTGCATAAGTCTTTACATAGCTAGCAATGTCCTTTTTCATTCCTGGCCACCAGACCTGTCTCCTAACCAGGTTGTTCTGACCCAGCCTTAGCAGAAGCAAGAAACAGACTCCTTGTCACAAAAACCCCTATTTACCTCTTGTGAATTAATTGCATTCACACACCGAAAAGTCCAGGCAATAGTCCTTCAAGGAGTTAACTGCAGTAACAGACCTTATCAGTTCCTTTCAGCTCCCAGCTGAAAGGCTGCAAATTAAGTTCTGGCAAGCAGTCTTTGTGACAGTAAACACAATGAGCAAAATCTTCAGAAATATGAACTGTTGTCTCCTACAAAAACCACTCCCTTTTCCTTCCATTTATTCCCCAGCCAGGGAGGGGCCATTCAGCGTCCATATGTGCTTTGCTTCTTGAGTCGACTCCTTGTCCTCCATTTTTCACCTCTCCTAACTGCTCTGCGCATATGTGCATCTGGAACAGGCCCCAGCTGTTCTTCCTCCTCACTCATATCAGCCTCCAAAGGCAGCTGCCTCTCCGGTGGCTGGGAAATGTCAGACGGCCCTGGCTCTATATCTGTGTCCAACGCAGATCATCCATCAGAGCCTTCCCCAGACTCCGGAACTGGCCCACGTTCCTCCCCAACCTCCTCATCGTCCAAGTCTGCCACCAGCTCTGCTGGTAGCTGGCGGGCCACAACACTGGTGCAGGGTTTTCAGAACCCAAAGTGCCCCGCCTGCCTGGCCTCATTGCTCCTTCATAGGACCAGCATCTGCAGGCTGTTAGGGACGTATAGTTTAGTCCCCTTCCAGGCCAGCTTGTCCCTAATGGTCAAGTGTTCCTTGAACCAGGGGTCACTTTGCAACTCGGTTTTGAGTTTCTGGGTCAGTTCCTCCCCTGGTGTGGTCAGTTGTCATGTGACTTGTCATTATGTGGTCACCTAGGGCACTTTCTGGGGTAGGGGAATAATTGTATTAACCACCTCCTTCCGAGTGCTCTTTTACTGGGGCATTCTTGAGAGGGCATCAGCCAGAAAGATTTTTCCTCCCGGGAGGATTTCAAGGTGAAGTTAAATCGGTTGAAGTACTGCGCCCACTGAACCTGCTTCAGTGAGAGTTTGTGAGGAGTTCTAAGTGCCTCCAAATTTTTATGGTCAGTGCACAATTCGAATGGTACGTTACTCCCCTCCAAGAGGTGGCACCAGGTCAATAGTGCCCACTGGACCGCAAAAGCCTCCTTTTCCCATATGGCCTAGCATCTCTCCATGTCAGTGAGTTTTCAGGAGCTGTAGGCGCACGGATGCAGGCTCCCCTCCTCAGGGAGGACGGCCCCTATGGCCATGTCGCTGTTGTCAGCTTGGATCATGAAGGGTTCCTCAGGATAAGGGTGCTTCAGAACTGGTTCCTTTGCAAATAGCCTTTTCAGAGTTTCAAATGCCTATTGGCATTCCATCGTCTATTGGAGCGGCTGGCTCGGCTGGGGTTTAGCCCGTTTTCCCTGTTTTCAGCAGCTCTGTGATAAGCAAGGCTATTCTCGCAAAGGATGGGATGAATTGCTTATAGAAGTTAGCNGGTTTATCTGTGCAACCCCTCCTGCATCACTGTCACCGCCGTCACCTCTCTGTTCTTTGTGCCGGCTGTGCACCGTTGCCTGCTGCTGCTGCCACTCGTGGCTCGTCATTGAACTCGCCGGCTCCGATGGTTACAGCTCTGTGCCCCACCACCACACCCAGGTATGGCGAGCCCTGGATCAGGACTCGACAAGGGGCCCTCAGTTGCGAGGTTGCCTGGTGCCACAGCAGGGCCAGGGCTGGCAAGGGTGTGCAAGAAACACCTCCAGGCGCCCAGAAATAGAACGAGAGGCAGCTCCTAATCAAGCCCAGCTGATCTGCAGGTCGTGATTAAGGGGCCCAGCTGCCATTAGCTGACTGGGGAAGAACTACCTCCTGTGCTGGCCACACTCACCCCTTCACTAGGTCTTATTTTAGCGCATGCACTCAAAAGCATGATAGGTCTTATTTTCGGGGAAACATGGTAATTATAATTCTTTAATTATACCAAAAACACAGGAATTATTCAGTGTTGGTTTCACCTCTGACCGTGCTGATATGATGTACCCAATAAACAGGAATCTTGAGGCCTCAGAGTCTTGAATTGGTTGGGAGCATTACTCGGAAACATGACATAATATAATTGGTATAATTAAACAATAGATATTGTCCACCCCCCTTGTGTCACAGGTCACGTTAGCCAACCAAGCAGGTGATGAACTTCTCAGCACTCCCTCCTGCCATTGCTAGGGCACGCTGATATGACCTTGGTTCCCAGGAGCCTTATTGTTGTTAGGTCTGGCACATTGGAGGAAAACATTCTACATTCCATAAGTCCCCCCCCCCCCAAGTATGGAAACTAAGAAACAAAGCAAGAAAAATATGGCTTCAGCTAGAGTCGTTTCAAGACTTGACAGTCAGCTCCCCTTATGTGGAAAAGATCATCTGTAAGATGAATCACAAACAGCAATTAAACCCCTTTCAGTCAACCCCTCCCCCCATCTATTGATGCTTTGGGTGTTGGAGGGTTCTTATCATGGAATTTTACTANGGGAAAAGGGGTCTGGCCCCGCCGAACCTCGCACACCCACCCTGGGGATCAGGCTCAGAGAAAGCCGGAGCGCCATCGCCAAAGACGCTCGCCCATCAGCTGGTTAACCCACCTTTGGCCGAGCCCGGCTGCTCACTTGAGGAGGGTAGCCCTGTTCTTGCGTGTCCTCCCTGCCCTGCAATAGCCGGCCGGGGGGGGGGGGCGCATGAGGAGGAGGGTCGTCTTTGGGGAAGCCGCTGCTCTCAGCTGCAGGCCTGCTCCCCTTTCCATCATACCCTCCTCCTGGATCCCATTCCCACCCTAGAAGCCCTCGTGTTAGTGAGGTTGGCATCAGCCATGGCTGGGTTGGGCCAGTGTCCCGGGGTGGAGAACTGGTCATGTGACTGGGCTAGCAGGCAGCCGCAGGTGAGGGATCAAAGAGCCACATGCGCCTCTGGAGCCACAGGTTGCAGACACCCGCCATAGTGCAAGTGATGCTGATCTTTGGGGGCATGGTCATAGGTAAGCAACTTGCATCCTTTGGGTTACATCCAATTCTGGAATCTCTACTGTTTTGTTGTGGGAAAGACTCAAGTTACAGCAATGACAAGAGGAGGTTGAAAATAAAACTAAACTAAATTAAAACTAAGGCAACTGTGGCTTCCTTAGAGAACCAAAATGGATTTCCAAATCTGGAAATCACAGGAATATTTTTTTGCTACCACTGATTAATGTTCAAAACCCCTATTCTTTCTCTAAGATAGAAAAACAGTATTTCAGAGGATCATTTCAAATTCTAAAGAACTAATCATACATTAAGCAGCCACCTGTAACATACATTTTGTTCATGTTGTGTCCAGATACAAAATGTCCATACGTAAAATACCTGAAATCCCTTGTTTCCATATCAACTTTTTAGGATTCTGGATGTCTTTACATACTTTATGTTCTCAGTGATTACCTCAAATAGGGCAAATTTCCAGAAACAGAATGAGGTAGCTGAGCCAGAACAATTAACTAACACAAAACCTACCTTGGAAGGACTCTTCACAGTCTTCCAACTTTCGCTTTTTCATACTGGGCTTAAAAAAAAGAGGAAATATTATATACATAATCTTCTTAAGTAGCTTAAGGAAACTGATGTTACAATGCCGATATTTGCTTCAAATGTCAGAATGTTTTCTTTTCTTTCCATAGCTTATTAGCAAGCATAATTAGTATAATTATGTTGTTTTGATCAGTCATTTACATGTTACAACATGTGACCAACCTTACCCCATCCAGTCCATCATGACTGTTTGTCAGCAGAATTGGGTCTGGAACGAGAAGGTTCACATCTGAATGGATTTGTGTGAGA